CCACCACCACCACCAACCACCACCACCACCAGCACCACCACCACCAGCACCACCACCACCACCACCACCACCACCACCACCACCACCACCACCACCACCACCACCACCACCACCACCACCACCACCACCACCACCACCACACCACGCACACACGCACGCACGCACGCACGCGCACCACCACCCACTACGCACGCGCGCGCGGAGCCACAGGTCCGCTACGACACGCGTCCGCGGATAGAGAAAATCAGCGCCATGATAAGGGATGGGAGGGAGGGGTAGGACGTCAGATATGACGCGAGCGCACCTAGCTTGCCCTCCTCCCCCTCCCCTCCTCCTCCTCCTCCTCCTCCTCCTCCTCCTCCTCCTTGTTCTCTCTCTCTCTCTCTCTCTCTCTCTTTCGTTCCCTTCTTCCTCCGATCCCTCGCCGCACCGACTCCGTGGCATTTTGATATGCTTGGTGTGTGTGTGTGATGAATTGATATGTTGGGATGTTGACAAACACCTTCTGTTCGTCAAGCCACCTATGCCCAGTGGGCTAGCAGGTTTATCGGGGCCTGTGGAAGCCTCCTGGGCTGTGCAAGCGCTTGGTAATTATGCCTTTGGACAAGGGGTGGTGTTCTTTCTTCGGCCCACCCAGAAACGAGCGGCATCGGGGGGCGTGGTTCGTGCGCGTGCATTGTGGCCCCTGTGCCCAAGGGAAGCGCTAAAAGAATGGGCCCCTGTGCCAAAGGGGAGCCTTCAAAGAGGTTCGGGTAGACACGGTGACGTCTACCAAGCCGGCCCTAACAACATTCGGTATCGCACATCCTCTGTAACTGTCACATGGTTGCGACCCTAATCGCCGACGCTGGGGTCGATGGGGGGTCAGGTGGTGCTTGCCCTCGCTTGGCTGGTTACGGCTTGCGGGGCGGGGGCCACATTACTCACGGGTCGCGGGCGGTCTTGAGGAGACGGTGGGTGGCAAAAAAGGCCACACTTTAATCCGTTGCACCTTCAAGCCCCAAGTTCCGCCCTCACTGGAGGCCCACTGCAGCCTCCCCGCGACCGCGTCTCTCTCTCTCTCTCTCTGGAGGAGCGGGAGGAGTGGAGGTTCGGGTAGGGGGCTATGGACACGGCTGGCGGCGGATTGAGGTTCCCACAGCATGCGTGGAGTCGAAACTTTGTACTACTTCGGGGTCGCACCCCATTCGCAAGCCTCAGCTACCCCACGTGACGGAGTTTATGTGTGAATCTATTCATCAGTCTCACGACTGTAGACTCGGAGTACAGCTGCTGACCCGAGGAGGCGCCGAGTGTCTCCTCTGCCAGCGAGAGGGTAACAGCACTGTAGACGAAAACCGTTTCTCCAGACACCCTGTACCCGGCTGCCTGGTGTCGAAGAAACGCGTTTTTCCAGACACCCTGTACCCGGCTGCCTGGTTCATTGCACTGCCCCCCCTCTCTCCTGTCGGGGGCTTCCCTCCTCTCTCGCCTCTCCCTCGCCCCTCATGGTCAGGCCCTCGGGTGAGGGATCTATACACATAGCTCATGTGTACTCAGCTGTGGCAAGGAGCTAACGGATTCATCATCCTTCGGCAACTGCTATCCCACGTGGTGGGCTTGCCCGCGTCTGCGCGAGCAGGTCCCCCCCGTCAACCGTAGGGTTGGCACTGACCGTGGCAACCTGAACGGTCGCTGTCCAACTGGCTTCACCCGCAACTTTCTGTGGGGTGAGTTGTGAGGGAAGCGCTCACATACGGCCCTGGACGTTTCCCATGAGAGTATTTTTCGCACCGCACACATAATGCTCAGGCGAGGGGGTTCCCCCCCGATTCTGTGACACACCCCTCGCAGCATGCCGCAGCTTTTTATGTTGGGCCCAAAAAGGCTGGCAGAAAAGAGTAGCATGGGAAACTTTGAGCCCCCATGGCGCGCCAGTACAGCCCAACTGACTGCCCTGCCGAAGTATGGTTGAAACCAAGTCAGGGCGCACTGGCTTCTGCCATATTCGCGACTGTAAGGATGAGACCTCCAAAAGTCCTTGAACATATCCCTCCTGCAGGGGCAAGCTGCGTTAGGCAGTGGGTTGCGGAACAGTGCACTTCTGAAGGTCGCCTCATCATTAAAGATGGATTTAGGTGCCCTGAAAGCTTATTGCGTACTCGGCGGTCCTCCTCCTCCTCCTCCTCCTCCTCCTCCTCCTCCTCCTCCTCTCTTCTTCTCCTCCTCCTCCTCCTCCTCCTCCCTCCTCCTCCTCCTCCTTCCTCCTCCATTCCTCCTGCTCCTCCTACCTCCCTCCTCCCTTCCTCCTCCTCCTCCTCCTCCTCATCCTCATCCTCCTCCTCTTCTCCTCCTCCTCCCCCCCCCTCCTCCTCCCTCCCTCCTCCTCCTCCTCCTCCTCCTCCTCCTACTCCTCCTCCTCCTCCTCGTCCTCCTCCTCCTCCTCCTCGTCATCATCATCATCACATCATCATCAATCAGCATCATCATCAACAGCATCATCATCAGCATCATCGCAGGGTTCGAGTGGAAGCAGAAAGAGGGGGGTTGTCCAGCATGATCATCCTCTTCCTCCTATTCCTCCGTTCCTTCTCCTTATAGATAACTCCTCCCTGTCGCACCTCGAGGCCAGTTTTTAATGCGGGCCAGACGGGCCGCCTGAGACTGTCTCACCCTTTACGACTCTGAAGCATAAAAGGTGACAACAGGTTCACAGATTGAGGGCGGGTGGCTTTCAACATGTGGCTCTCGCCTTAGCGCCGCGCACATTCGTCGTAAAAATTGGCAAGAGCTGCACGGATTGCGGGCGGGTCGTTGTTTGAAAATGTAGCTCTCGCCTAAGCGCCGCGCACATTCGTTGCAAAAAAAAGTGACAACAGGTTCACAGATTGAGGGCGGGTGGTTTTCAAAATGTGGCTCTCGCCGTAGCGCCGCGCACATTCGTTGTAAAAAGTTGCAAGAGTTTCACGGATTGAGGGCGGGTCGGTGTTTGAAAATGTAACTCTCGCCTTAGCGCCGCGCACATTCGTTGCAGAAAAAAATGCAAGAGCTTCACGGAGTGAGGGAGGGTGATTTTCAAAATGTGGCTCTCACCGTAGCGCCGCGCACATTCGTTGTAAAAATTGGCAGGAGCTTCACAGATTGAGGGCGGGTCGTTTTTTGAAAATGTAACTCTCGCCTTAGCGCCGCGCACATTCGTTGTAACAACAAATGCAAGAGCTTCACGGATTGAGGGCGGGTGGTTTTCAAAATGTGGCCCTCGCCGTAGCGCCGCGCACATTCGTTGTACAACTTGGCAAGAGCTTCACAGATTGAAGGCGGGTCGTTTTGAAAATGTAGCTCTCGCCTAAGCGCCGCGCACATTCGTTGTAAAAAATGTGCAAGAGCTTCAGTGATTGAGGGCGGGTGGTTTTCAAAATGTGGCGCTCGCCTTAGCGCCGCGCACATTCGTTGTAAAAAGTTGCAAGAGTTTCACGGATTCCCATGATCAACGTACCTAAAATGGTGTTTTGGAAGGATTCAAGATTATGCGGGTGCAACAATTATGTTGATTCGCGGTGTTGAAATCCAAAAGATGTCGTTATGGCATGATTCCGGATCGCCAAAACGCAGCAGTCAGGTTGATATGTGGCGCTAAATCCCGAGAACAATGTTTTGGCATGCTTCAGGATCTTCCAACGGTTGTCTTCCAACGAGGCACTTCCCTCAATGGAAATGTACCGCTGCAGGGGCCTATGGAGAGGGAGCGTGGAGGGAGGGTTAATTCCAACATCGTTGATGACTCTTGGGTTTACACTGGTCCTCCTCCTCCTTCTCCTTCTCCCTCCCTCCTTCCTTCCCTCCCTCTCTCCCTCCCTCCCTCCATCCCTCCCTCCTCCCTCCTCCCTCCACCCTCCTCCCTCCTCTCCCCTCCCCTCCCTCCTCCCTCCTCCCTCCTCCCTCCCTCCCTCCCTCCCCTCCTCTTCCTGCCATCCTCCCTCCCCTCCTCCATCCCCTCCTCCTCCTCCTCCTCCTCCTCCTCTCCTATCCTCCTCTTCTCTCTACGCCTCCTCCTCCTCCTCCTCCTCCTCCTCCTCCTCCTCACACAACTCCCTCCCCCTCCTCCCTCCCTCCCTCCCTCCTCCCTCCTCCCTCCCTCCTCCCTCCCTCCCTCCCTCCCTCCCTCCCTCCCTCCCCCTCCTCCTCCTCCTCCTCCTCCTCCTCCTCCTTCTCCTCCTCCTCCTCCTCCTCCTCCCAGGGCGGAGGGGAAGGCGGCCCTCCGCACGAGGCCCCACCCCCCCGCCTCGTGAGGCGCACGGCTCCTCGCGGGGGCGCAATCCCCTTCCGAGGGTCCCCACGAGCGCAGCCCTGTGCGCCCAAGGAAGGGCTTGCTCGTAAACGCCCAGAGTTAAGTCGGGCCTGTCCCCCTACAGGGGGATGTTCGACGAAAAATGCAAAATACACCAAAAATACCCCCAAAGGGTCAAAAATACTTTCAAAAAAATCCCAAAACTATGTTTGGACTATTTTTTGACTATTGTTTGACTATGTTTCGTCGAAAATCCCCATGTAGGGGGACAGGCCCGACTTAAGCCCAGAGCTATCCAGTAAACGCCAGCTACTGGCACCGGAGTGGTTTCTCCGCCATTGAGAGGAGGCCCCCGCCTCCTCGAAGGCTGCTGCCCCCTGGCCCTGCCCCCCCCCCCGCCCCCCCCCTCGGCCACGCGCAAGGATGACCCCGGGCAAGAGTGACCTCTGGCGCACAGCTTACCAAACGCTCCTTTCCGACGCAGCCGCGACAGCACGCGTGCTGTGGTGGTGCCCCCCGCGCCCCCCAAAGCCACTCTGGCGAAGGGCCACTCTTGCGTGTAGCTGACCTCCGCGCCGCCAGTCTTCCTCCCACTCGGCGCACCGGCGGAGCGCCGCGCCCTGGCCCTCCACGAGCTCGAGCGGCCGCTCCCCGCGGCTCCCGCCGGCCACGTTCCTAGGCCGGGGAGCAAGCGGAGACCCCTTGAGGAGGAGGAGGAGGAGGAGGAGGAGGAGGAGGAGGAGGAGGAGGAGGAGGAGGAGGAGGAGGAGGAGGAGAGGAGGAGGAGGTGGAGGAGGAGGAGGAGGGGGAGGAGGGAGGAGGAGGGAGGAGGAGGGAGGAGAAAGAGGGGGAGGAGGGAGGAGGAGGAGGAGGAGGAGGAGGGAGGAGGAGGAGGAGGGGGAGGAGGAAGAGGAGGAGGAGGAGATGGCCACAAGACTACACGCGGAGAGGTCGTGCCGATCTTGGTCGGCGCCCGTCTTGGTCAGCGTCCACTCGCGGGCCGCCCTCGCGAAGCAGCGGCGGGCCTTCACGCGCCGTGACCACGAGCGGCATCGGCGACGCCCCGCGACGCCGTGGCCAGGGCCATCGCAGATTGGGCTTGGGTCGGGCAGGTCCCCCTACAGGCGGATCGTCGGCGAAAAACGCGGAATAGTCCAAAACAAAATAAGCAAACAAAATAGCTCGAAAATATACTCGAAAATACGCAAGGAATCGTCCCCAGGCAATTGTTTTGATTATCTCTGAATAATCCTCCTGTAGAGGGACACGCCCGACTTAAGTCATCGCAGATTGTGCGAGGTGGGGACTCATCCACATCCACCGCCTGGGAACCGAAGCCCTGGTGCCGCAGTGCGCGGTGGACAGGGACGTACTTTGGCCCCTGGGGGCCCGAATGTATCCATATCCACCGCCCGTCGAGATCTCCGAAATCGACCCTCCAGGCGGTGGTTATGCATTACACCAAAGAAAACCCAATCAATAGATGGTTTTCGCTGAGGAGATCGACCGGGAACCCGGGAGCCCGGGAACCCAGAACCCACCGAAATCGGCCCGGAACCAATAACCCGGAACCCGGGAACCCAGCCTGCTACCAAAGTCGGCGGAAAACTTTCGCCAAATCTTCCAACTTCCGCCAGGACCCCTGCAGTGCAGAAGCACTGCTTGGGGCATCGATTTGCTCCAAACTGATTTCCCCGCCTCTCGGAGATGGGGCCCCTTCGGCGGTGGACAGACCTCCCTTTAGTAAACCTCCCCTTAGTGAAAACGGCCTGGGACCGAGACCGACGGACCTGGACCCGCAGAAATGACGGCCGCGACGCCCTCTCGCGAACCGAAAACGGCCAATTCCTCAATCGACGTGTCAGGGTAGGAGGTCTGTCCACCCCCGACTGATCACCCCGACCCTCCCTGAGATCCGGCGCTGCGAAACAAAAAATGCAGCTCGGCAGAAGAGAGAGAGGCACAGCCGACGCGGTTCGGGCCGCATCGGTCCGCGTCGGCCCCGGGGCTCGAAGGCGGGCGAGCGCGCCTGGTGTTGTGGATGCTACGGCGACGGACACCCTGACAGCTCTACTATTGCATTATGAATGTCTCTATGACCAGCCTCGAACGTATCCCTATACCTAAGATTGACACGCCAGAAGGCGATGACCCCTCGGCTCCCGGACAGGTTGGCGAACGCGCACAGCGAGCCCTCGTGGAAGACGACGCGGCCGCCGCGCAGCCGGCCCAGCACGCCGAGCGGGTGGGCCGCGGCCGGCACCCGCAGCGTCCGCTCTGCCAGGCGCCGGGCCTCGGCCTCGGAGGGGCAGCCGTCCGAGCGGATGTGGACCACCTCGGGCGCTGCTCGACGCGGGGGGGGCGGTGCGGTCGAGGGAGCGAGGAGTAGGAGGAGGAGGAGGAGGAGGAGGAGGAGGAGGAGGAGGAGGAGGAGGAGGAGGAGCGAGGAGGAGCGAGGAGGAGCGAGGAGGAGGAGGAGGAGGAGGAGGAGGAGGAGGAGGAGGGAGCAGGGAGCGAGGAGGAGGAGCAGGAGGAGGGACGACGAACGCCAACGCCGACGCCGACGCCGACGCCGACGCCGACGCCGACGACGACGACGACAACGACGACGACGGCCGGCCACCTTCAGGCCGGAGGCCTCTAGCAGGCGAAAGTCGGCCAGCGCGTGCGGGTAGATCTTGATGATCGCGTAGCAGCCGATGACGAACGCGACCGCCCCCCTGGAGCGCATTTTTCGATTCGGGACCATAACGAAAAGGGCCCCCCCCAGACTGTGGTGCCAGACGCAGTGCGGCAGTGCCGGGGACACACTGAGGGGGGGGGGAGCGCTACGTTATGGGGGAGGAGGGGGCGGGGAGGGCGCACAACGCGCGTTATGGCCCAGAGAAAAAGGAAAAAAGCCAACTCCTCGGCATCCAGAGCAGCTGCACGATGTGGCCGCCGTACGGCGTGACGAACGCCCCGGCCGAGGCGAGCAGGCGCCCCGTGGCCTGGAGGCTGAGGTTCCGCAGCTCCACCAGCTCGCCGCCCAGCCGCGCCGCCACCCCGGCGGCCCCGGGCCAGCTGCGCCGGCTCTCCGCGGCCCGGCCATAGCAGGGGAACAAAATACCACACAAGCATACACTGCTGGAGGCCCGCGCGGACTTCCTGGATCTGCGCTGGGCCCCCCTCCCTGGCGCCAGGGGGCGCGCCAGGGGCGGCGCCAGTGGCGCCGCCCTCGGGGGTGCCCAGCGCGGATGCGAGAAGTCCGCGCGGAGCGCCAGAAGTTTATGTTTGTGCCGTTTTTCTTCTTCGACATAGACCAGCACGCGCCCCGCCGGCGGGGCGTCGCGGGCCCCCACCGCGTCGCGGAGCCTCTCGCGCACCCCGCCGAGCAGCTCCCGCGCCGTGTGGCGGCCGAAGGCGCCGTCCCGGGTCGGGTCCTGCCGGGCGTCGAGCATCCCGTTTGCGCTCAGCACCACGCGCTCGAAGCAGTGCGTCTGGTCGAGCCCCATGAAGTCCGCGGGGGCGAACAGCTGCGCGACCAGGTCGCGCTGGAAGGCCTTCACCGTCGGGCTGCCGACGCTGGCGTGCAGGTTGGCCACGGTATGCCAGGGAACCTCTCCGCCCTCGCGCTTGTCGGGGGCGGCCAAGCGGGGGGCGTCCAAGAAGGGGGGGGGTGGGGCGCACATCATGGCCCGCGGCACGTGCGCGGCCCAGGGGGGGGGCGGCCGGGGACGTGATGAAAGAAGAAGGGGCGCCATGAAATCTGAGGAAGTATCATTGCCCCCGCCACGATGTCCACCCCCCCCTCTATCGGGGGCGCGCCAACATGGATTAACGATCCATGGATTTGGCGCACGGTCGCCAAATCCATGGATCGGGGGGGAGGTGCCATCCCCAAAATGCGGCCGGTGCCGGCCGCCTCGTTCGGCGGCGGAAACCTGCGATTTCCCATGGAAACGGGACCCGTCGCGAATCCACGCCCCCTTGAAAGCCATGTTTGCGATCGCCTGACTCTAGTCCTCCCCCCTCTTGGCCGTCCCCGAGCTTGGTCGCCTCGTCGGCCATCAGGTCGAGCAGGACATCGTCGACGAAGAAGTGCCCGAGGTTCGCGCAGTCGGGGCAGCGGGTGCTGGGCACGTGTCGGCGGCGCGCCCGGGGCGAGGAGCGAGAGGGGACAGGCCGCCTCCTCCCCCTCCTCCTCCTCCTCCTCCTCCTCCTCCTCCTCCTCCTCCTCCTACTACTACTACTACTACTACTACTACTACTACT